GTTTCAATCTCCTGGCCTTAAGCTATCCTCCATCTAAGCCTCCTAACACTCTGGGATTAAAGTCGCTGGAATTAAAGTCATGAGCCACCTAACCTGGCCTTTTGCTATTTATTAGCAGTATGACCTTGCAGGAATTATATAGCCTTTCCAATCCTTTCTTGGTTTTTATTTATAAGATGAGGATAATAATAGTACCTGCCTTACAGAATTGTTTTGAAGATTAAATGAGATGGTATATATACATAGGTTAACAGAATTCTTGGTACAAAGTTTAAGTGCTTCTTATTATTATTATTGTGATACCGAGTCTGAGATTATCTGGAGTTCTGTGTCAACAATTTAATTTTAGGGTTCCTTATAATGTATAAAACTTGATTTGGGGAAAAATTTGTTTGGTATTTATATTTGGATTTGGAGAAAATATTATGTAAGATAGCTTTGCTTATTCACTATTGTCCTAGATGAGCCAGCACATGTCATCTTTTGCAGAATTCTTATTAGAGATTATGTTAAATTTATAGCTATAATAGAAAACTGATAGTTTTGTTTGTGATGATTTATTATTTGTTAGGCTTATTACCTTTACTTTTAGCCAAACCTTTTTGAACTTTGTGTGTGTGTGTATGTGTATATGTATATATTTTTTTGGTTTTAGGGATAGGATGAAGAAGTAGTTAGGCTTTATAAAGTCTGATCAGTTTCAGCTGATCAACTTACTTTCCAACTTTTTTTCTTTTGAAAATTTCAAACCTATAAAAAAGTTGAAAGAGTAGTGCAACAAATACTTGTATATTCTTCACCTAGATTCACTAGTTGTTAACTCTGTTTCTTTTTTGTGCTCATGCTTAGTGTTGGACAAGTGCTCTTTCTCTACATGTAAATACACAAACATACTCTTTTTCTTACTCAATTAGTTGAAAGTAAGATGGAGACATCATGATACTTCATCCCTAAATACTTCATCATGCATCTCCTAAGAACTAGGGCATTCTCTTATATAACTATAATGCCATTAGTATACCCAAATAATTTAACTTCAATATGATAATATTATCTAGTGTATAGTCCATATGCAAAATTAGATTTTTCTAAATGTCCCAGTAATGTCATTATAATATTAAAAAATTACTGAATCTGGCTGGACACAGTGGCTCACACCTGTAATCCCAGTGCTTTGGGAGGCTGAGACAGGAGAATCACTTGAGGTCAGGAATTCAAGACCAGCCTGGGCAACATGGTGTGACCCCATCTATACAAAAATTTTTTAAAAATTATAACTGAACCAAACTGGGCTCATTTGCTGGTGTACAATGAAAAGCCAAACACTGAAGCACTGAGATTTTGCAGTGAGAAAGTTTGTCAAGTAGCCAAAATAAGCAGACAGGAATCAGACTCAAATTTGTTTCCCCCAGCTTAGGGATTGGGGCAAGTTTAATAGAGCATAATGAGGTGTGATCTTTTGAAGGAGTGATGCCAGGAATTGTACTTTGACTGGATCCTGCCATCAGGTGATGCCAGGGTTCAGTCTGACTGGATCTTGGATCCTGCCATGCAATGTCTACTTCTTAATTCAGTTCCTGCTCCTTCTCAGAGCATTTAGGTTCAGTCCATGGTGCACACTTGGTTCATTTGGGCATGATCTGGTTATGTGACCTTCAACTTGGGTAGAGGATCATGGAAACTGAAAAACAGCTCACAACTTTGTTACATAAAAGGTAAACCAGATTGGTCTGATGTGGTTATAAAATTAGCTGTTTGATACCTGGAGTCAGCCATTTTACTATGGAGTTCTGGTTCATTTTAGTGGGAAATGATACTTAGAAACCAAGATCTGGGTGTTGGATATTTTCGTTGCTACTGATGAGTCACTGGCTTTAGACCCTTTAAATGGACACAGACACTGTTTTTAAGAAATCATGAGTTCGTAGGATACCTTCAATTTATATTCAGTACTACAGAGTTCTCTTCACTTTCCCTCAATTCATACTTATTATCTCTGTTTTTCCATAGGGAGAATTCTGATTCTCAATCATATCAATATATTTACTCATCTAGAGTAAACTACAACATACATAAAATCCTACAACATACATAAAATAGTTTTAGAATTACTAGACCAATATTGTTTTCAATAACAGATCTATCAAGTAAAGATTTCTTTGCCAATATATCCCACTAAATGTATATAGTCAAAGTAGGTGTTCAAAGTTATTTGAATTATTTTGTTGTGTGATGATGTTATCAATTTAAAATATAGTTAGGTTCCTGCTAAACTACTTTTAAAATAGACTTTCTGTAAAATCAGTTATCTGTATAACTATTAAAGTAGACATAATTTAAAACTTTATTATAATATGTGGTTTTAGGGAACTCTAGAATAGTTATATCAGCTGGAGAATATTCAGTTTTAAAGTCTGTAAGGCTTTAAACTTGTAGCTCTATTTTCCAATTGATATAATACTATTTAAAATTAGGAATAACAAGAAAAGTGACATCAAATGATTCCATTTGTAAGCTAAAACAATTGTGTTTGTGAACATTTTAAACAATGCTTTTTTTAAAAACTGATGATACAATTCAAGCATTAATCTTTAACAATGGACATAATTGTTGAGGGTACTTTAACTCATTCCGGGTAATATTTCTAGTGTTTTCCTATATTTATATCCCAAATAGAAAGAATTATGTTTATATGTAAGTCCTTGTTCTTTGTATTTGAAGAATGCCTTTTTTTGACTGCATTTTTTTACCCTGTAATCTTATTCATGTGTGAATATTCTCATTGGAAAGGGGAAACACATTTATCATAATAGTTATAATACTTTACATTCCTATTGTGAGATATAACCACAGCTAGCCTTTTGTAATGATTAGTTAATAAGTATCTTGCTTATTAGAATGTAAGGTTAGTGAGGGCAGGACCTGGGTTTCATGGCTCATTGTATCTTCCTTAGTTCCTTGCAAGAGTAACCACTTAAATACTTGGTGATATTTTGTGTTTAAATGACATGTAGTTGCTAGCCTCAGTAATATGGATGTACTTTTTTTTTGACAAAAGTAACTAATAGAATTGATCTTGGGAAAAAAATCTTATTATCTTAGCCCATTTTCTGTTGCTTATAACAGAATACCTGAAACTGGGCAATTTATAAAGAAAAGGGAATTTATTTCTTAAGGTCAGAGGGCCACATCTGGTGAGAGCCTTTTTGCTGGTGGGAACTCTGCAGAGTTCTAAGGCAGTCCAGGGTATCACATGGTGAAGGGTCCAAGTGTGTTACCTCAGGTCTCTTTACCTTTTCTTACAAAACTACCAATCCTACTACTCCCATGATAACATATTAATCCATTAACTCATTAATCTATTAATCCATTAGAAGGCAGAGTGCTCATGCCCCAATTACCTCTTAAAGGTCCTACCTCTCAATACTGCCACCTTGGGTGTTAAGTTTCAACATTTCTTTTGGAGGGGAGAAACATTCAAACCATCCATATTTAACTATTACAGACCTCAAAATCACTGTGTCTCAAACTAAATTCCCCATTTTCACCTTAGCCTTTTCCACTTGGGTTCCCTGTTTCTGTTAATGGAACCATTATCCTCCTAGACATTGGACTTGAAATCTGAAAGTCACTTTAGTCTCCTCCCTTGTATGTGGGCATATACACATTCATATATTTGTATGATATTGCTAGTTTTACCATGGCCACTTATTGTTTATATCTCTTCATTTCTAATACCCTTACCAATATCCTGACTGAGGCCCTCATTACCACTCATACAGTCTCATGACCAGTTGAAGGAATTAGTATATTTAATGTGGAAAAGAGAAGATTGGAGGGGAAGGGGTTGGGAGGTATATCTTTGAATATCAGATGGGCTGTCAAATGGAAGGACCAGTTATAATAGAAACTAACTGGGGAACAGAATTTTGGTTCCACATAATATCTTTCTAGCAAGTGTAGTTTAAAATTAGCAGATACCATAGATACCATGTAGTTACTATGGATTCTCCAGAAACAGAGAATAAACAGTTTAAAACATTATCAGGCTTTTAAACTTACAGGTGTATTTTGAGCCTAGTACTCATTAAGTACTGAGCTTCCTATTCTAGAAGTGTTTCATCAGAGGCTGAGGGTCTGCAGTTGGCAAGGATGTTCTAAAGGGGATCCTGTTACTATATAGGTAGTTAAACCCAGTTAGTGATTAGTAATTAATGAGTCTTCACCAGAGAGCAGATCAGATTTCTCTAGTTGGGAGTGATATTTTTTTCAATCTTTTAAATTGACACATTTTCTTTCACTACTCTTCTCCACCCAAGTACTATTGATTAGGAGAGATTACTGATAGATTGAAGTATATTGTGTGGGACAGTGGTCAAGAACTGTTAATATTAGTACTTATTAGTTACTAGATGCTTTGTAAGTTCCCTTTCAATTCTCACATCCTTCAATTCTTGTAGGGGTTAATTATAGTTTGTTGATTTAATGGTTAATGCCCTGTGTTACTTCTTCTATATAGATTGCATACTTAATAGCTTGGAAAGTTGCATTATATTTTCTTCCTTTTTTTTATTTTCAGAGACAGGGTCTTGCTTTGTTGCCCAGGCTGGAGTACAGTGGGTGTGATCATAGCTCACAGTAACATTGGGCTTCTGGGCTCCATTGATCCTCCTGCCTCAGCCTTTAAAAATTAATCCAGCTAATTAAAAAAAAATTTTTTTTGTAGAGATGAGATCTCACTGTATTGCTCAGGCTGGAGAAGTTGCATTTTAAAATATGGAGACTCCAGATATTTATAGTTACCTTGGACTCATCGAAGGTTACTAAGAACCTGACATAAATTTATTTATTAAACTACTGTATGCTAAATATTATGTTCTTCTTAGAGATAAGATCAAGGCTTAAGGCTATCTTAAGACAGCTTCGATATCATTAAGAATTCTTATTGTGGTCTTTAAGTAAATGATCGAGGTCATTTAAATTCCTTATGTCCCATTTAGGTTGGTTACAATGATGACTTTGCACAGCCTGTGAACATATAATATGCAGTGCTGCACAAGTGGAGGTTTTTGCCACAAGTTGTATGAGGAACTTGATAGAAGTCATGTGTGAAGGTAAATATGTGTCTTCTCAATACTTAGTTTTTTCCATATATAGTTTACCTTTTAGATTCAAGAGAAGAATGTATAAGTATTATATTTTATTTAAGTCATCATTATAAAGTAGCTATGCCTTGACTTAGTACTTTTAACTGGAGGATGTGATCCTGAGGAATCTTAAGAATGTTTATAAGATGTATCCCTGAATTAGCCTCTTTGCTATCAGTCTTTTATTCCTCTTTTTAAAGCCAGTTTCTGAATATGTATGTCCTGCCTTGATCATGTTGCTGTTCCTTTTTTGAATATTTTTGTCTTTATTTCTTATTGCCATCTACTTTGCCTAACAGTTAGCTCTGAAAGGGCACATTCTACATAAATATTACCATTGCTCTCTGCTTCTTCATATTTGCTACTTTTTTTTTTATTAGTCTGCTGTCTTCTTAGGTGTCTTTTCAGGAGGATTTATACACTGAACATTTTTTAAGAGTATAAGTTCAGTGCATGAAGAGAGAAGATTGGCATGTAAAGGGAAGAAATAGAAATGGACACAATAATTGATATTTCTGTAAACAAAGAACTAAAATGAAGAAAAGAAATAAGAAAGCAGAGACGATAGCTCAATGTATAAGAGACCTTCAATATCAGATAAGGGATTGATATTTGTTACTGAAAATATAAGCAGGTAGAAAATGTTCTATATAGTAGATACAAAACTTAGAGCAGGTCTCATAGTTCATTTTATTTGGTGAAGCATATCAAAAGTTCTAAATCAATATCTGTATTTCATCTAGCAGCAGAATACCATTTGAGGATGCCCAAGCATATGCAAATCTCAGAAGTCTGCATATGTGTTTTTGTCCATTGTTCTGTGTGTCCAAGATGTATTCTGTAGACTCAGTCCCTGAAGTTCTGTCAGGAGCTTTACTTGGCTTTAAATTCTCAGTGGATAAAATGGTCTATCTATTGCCAAATGGGATAGGCTGATTACTTTCACTTGCCCTCCAAGGACATTTATTTGAGTACCCTTTACATTTATCAGTTTATAGTTTATTGACTATTTTAGTGGATGGTTATGATTAGAAAAGTGACTCTAAAAATTACATCTGGATCTCAATCGATAATTTTCATATCAAATGTAGCTCTGTTCTTCAAAAGAATTCTGCTTAGTCTTCACTCTGCTTTTTCTATAATTATCAGTAAAGTTTAGGAATAAACCTCATCTGGTAGCTCTACCTTTGTTTACTGAGATAGAATGAAATAGAGTTTTCTCCTCTTTAATGCTATTACCTTCTAATTAAAAATGGATTTGTCAGAATGTTAATAGTGAACAGAAATATGGAGATGGTGCATGATAAAATTTTTTGTATGCATTAATTAGGAAAATCTACTTGAAAGAAGATTGAGTAATTTCTCAAAAGTTTTAAGAAATAATCTATAAATACCTTCTAAAAAGTAATTTGGAAATTGTGAAGAATGTTGTTATTATTTGAGACAAGTTTTTGCTCTGTTGCCCCGGCTAGAATACAGTGGCATCATCACAGTCACTGCAACCTCCAAACTCCTTGGCTCAAGCTATCCTCCTGCCTCAGCCTCCCAAGTAGCTGTGACTACAGATGCATGCTACCATGTCCCGCTAATTTTTCTATTTTTTTGTAGAGATGGGGTCACACTCTTGCTCAGGCTGAAGAATGTTATTTTGATGCTTTTCCAGACCGAGGCTCTGATGACACCACATAAAATAAACAAGAATTTTGGCATATTAGCTTGATCAGTGGGGTACCTGGCTTGACTAATCCAGGTATTTTAGGTCCTAGAGAGATTGAAATATACTGGCTAAATCAGCACTTCACTTTATGCCTGGTAGACAAATGAATTTGAATTCATTTTAATTTTTTTAAAAACCAGGGAAGCTTTTGGAAAGGGAATTTGTAGGTGAGGATAGTTTTAGAATTTTGCAATGAGACTATTACTCTCAAAGTTCATTGTGGTTTTTTCTTTTTTTTTTTTGCTCATTTGCAGTTAAACTAAAAGTACTGTTTGTCTTACTTTTCCTTGGCTTATCTTACACAAATATAAAGAAAACCTTTTAATAGACTGAATGGACTGAAGTATTAATTTATTCTTTTTTCTCTTGCCAAATCTCATCACACTTATTTTAAGGAGAAACAAAGTTATAAATTAATAAGGGATATCCTTCAAGTCATTTTATTTAGCCAAAGCTCCCTGGGGTCTTAAATTGAGGAAGCTAAGTTTTCACATGACTAAACAGCTGAATCTGATGTCTTTAAGAACCACAAGAGTAGAGTTCTTCATCTTAAAAAGGAAAAAAAGGTCTCAGCATTTTAATTTTCTCTCTCATCTGTTTAGGAATTTTGTAATAGGATGTCTTCTCTGTAGATTTCTTAGTTCAGCAGTCCCAGTTGTATTGGAATTTAACATAAGCTAGTTACATCTGTAACTTTATGTCTTAAATTTTTCATTTGAACAATTTACTTTTGAATAATTTCATTATTATTTTAAAAGAAGCTCAATGTAAACAATTTAAGCAGTAAAGAAAATTACAAAGAAGAAAGTCAAAATGGAGGTTTCATTTCTTAGAGATTTTTACTTTTAATATTATGAACTTCTAGACATTGTTTTATGCATATATGTATATGTGTGGACATATGTATATACATAAATAATATTTATGCATGTATATCCCTGAGTTGTATTCATACTGTTTCCATTTTTCTTCACTCTATGCCCTGGATATCTTTTTATGGTGGTAAATATAGATCTATATCACTGTTATATGTATATGCCATAATTTAGTCATCAGCAGATAATTTTGTGTCTGTTATGTGCTGGCTGTGCTCATTCTATGCCCTCAAGGATTTTATTATTCAAGAAATAATTATGTTAAATGCTTATTTCCTCAGGATTGCCAGTTTTATCTCTTGTGATGATAAAAAAATATGAAATTCCTTTAATGTACCTTTTTTTGACCTAGTAAGGTTGAAAATATTTTCATATATTTGTGGCCTATTTCTTTTTTTAATTGCCTTTTTTTTCCCATTTGAGTTTTTTCCTTATTGCTTTATAAGAGCTTGTTGTATATTAAGGACATTAACCCTTTGGATGTATAATAGGTATTAAACTTTTACCCTAATAAATAGATTGTAGCTCAACCTGGTTCATGCTGTTTTTCCTCTTTGTCTACAAAGTTTTCATTTTTATGTACTTACATTTTCCTTTCTGATTTCTGATTTTGCAAACCATGCCTAAGCATGGTAGAAAGGCCTTTTCTACCCTAAAATTGTTTAAAAATTTTTAATCTGTGTTTTCTTGGAATATGTGTACATGTGCTGTGTGTTTGCATTTGCATTTAAATCTTTGATTCATCTAGAATTCATAATGTGTGAAGTCATCATCCAGCTTTATTTTTTTAAACTGGTTAGCTTACTATTCTAGCACTATTTATTAAATTAACCATCTTTTTTCACTGATGTGAGATATCTCTCATATTAAGTACTAAATCCTCAAATATGTTTAGGTATATTTCTGTGTTCCCTATTATGTTTTATTACTATGTAGTTTTATAATGGCTTTTAATGTGCAGTAAGGCAAATCTCATTAGGAATTTTTGGTTATTCCTTTATAAAGTGTATCACTTTGTAATACTTTCTAACATGATTCAAGAGATCACCTTTCAAAATATCTCTGTTCTAAAGTTAAGATTTTTAGAAACAGCCATTTAAATTTTTGTTATAGAAATAAAGAGGTTTTCAATCTTTATGGAAGAATGGAATTCACTTTTAGTCGTGGAAAGTAATTATACTGAATTATTAAACTAGCAACAGCTCATCTTTAGTTTGACCTTATGATAATAATTTTATTGTTCTCATTTACCCTGTATAACAATGATGCTAAAAGTATTTTTATAGAATATTTACAAACATGATCCAAAGCATTTCAGTTGTTTCAGTTTGGGGGTTAAGTTATTCTGAGTACGTAGTCCAAGTAAAAGGAGTTTTGACTAAATAACAATAAAAGAACAGCTCAATAATTTGTTTCATTCTAAGTTCCTTAAGGTCAGAATATTTGTCTTATTAATTTCTACATTTATCACAGTATCTTATCTTGCTTTTTTTTTTTTTTTAGGAGTCATTGTCTATGATACGTACTTTCTCCATACAAAATGTCTAATTGCTCATCATCTTCATTTTTCTCCCATCTACTTTAAGGCATCTTGACTTTCACATCCTTGCTAAGGACTGTCCAGAGTGTTCCTGGTGTCTGGCTGGGAACTGTCTGAACCGAAAAGTCTTTTGTATGGCCTACTTTCTTTCTGACTTAAGAAGAAAATACCTGTATGTACATTCTCCTATCTAAAAATTTTGGATTTAGAAGATTCAAGGTTAGTGGCTTTTTAAAAATAAACTTTTAAAATTCTAAAAATATGTTCTTTGTATACGATTTGGAAAATGTGGGCAGTTGTAGTATAAAAATAACCACAGAGAAACTACTGTTAAAAATTTTGGTGTACTTCTTTTTAACTTTCTAACTGCCCCCCCACACTCCGAACCTGCCCCTGACAACCTTTTGCCTGTGTCATATGATACATAAGTTTCAGATTCTGTGTAGTGTTTCCTCATTTTCATAAATTCTTTGGAGACATTTTTAATAGATGTATAATCCATCATGTGGATGCAGTATATATAAGTCACACATTTTATAAGCTCTTTTCCTTCTTGCTTTTCCATATTTTGCTAAATTATGTATGCAGTTTTCTTGAGAAAATTTTTTCTTTCTTCCATTGTCAGTTAAAAAAAATTTCTAATCCTGGTGAGAGTGCTGCTAGTGATACACCTATATTTCATTAACTTATCAGATTTATTTATTAAATAAATCACTGATTTATTTAATAAATAGTTTTGAGAAACAATTGTGTGCCAGACAGAATTTAAGGACACTTAATTTACTGTCTAATGTAGAAGACAGGTAAGAAACAAGTAATTACAGTGCAATGAGTGCTGTGATAGAGGAAGACATAGGATCCTATGAGAGCTAAGAGACACCTGTTTAAGTTTGGGGTTTAGGGAGGGTAGTTAGGGAAATTTTACTAGTTTTACCAGAGGAAGTGAAACTGGGCCTTAGGAGCTCATGATAGTAAGTAGTCAAAACAGTGAGAGTGAGCAGGAAGGCACTAGAGGAAACAAGGCATTTAAAGGCTTGGGTGTATCAGATAGCATATCAAGTTCAGGAAGCTTTAATGTTAATACTAGAAATGATTTCAGCATATGATTGAAGAAAACCAAAATATTGTTCCCCAAAATATTAAGGATTATTAAGTTAAAAATCCTGAAAATGTGGGGGAACACTCTGTTTCAACCTCTATTTGCCTGATGACAGGACATAAATCCTTCCTTACTGGAGACTTGCTTATTGGCCCAGAGAACGCACCAGCAGGTACCAAAAGAGTCTGGGAACAGATTTTACTATTTTCCCACATTTTCCTGCCTTTTAAAAGACTGGAATTGCTCTTTCCTTTGTCTTATCACTATATAGGATCTATTGCTCTTTGTTAAAATACTATTTAAGCAAGGCCATAAGCCACTGCCTTGAGAGAGAAATACTTTTGAAAACTGAGGCCTCTTCTGCGAAATGGGTATAACACACATAAACAAACTTCTGTTTTTCTTTTGTTAATCTGACTTCTGTTTTTAGGAGAGTATCTTAGCTAAGCACATAAAATGGGAATGAAAAGAAATTATGCTTTCTTCCCTACATGGTGCATGTGAGGGAGTGGCAAGAGAGTGAGCTGAGTAAGTGGACAGAGGTTATTATATGAATATCATCCTTAAGTACCGGGCACTGTACCAAGTGCTGGGGGTACAAGCATAAGCAAGGCAAAGTCCTTGAGGAATATGTTTATAGCTTTAATTCTCATTTATACATCAGAAATTCTCAAATTAATATCCCTAACCCAGACTTCTCCACTGAGCTCCAGGTCTATATATCTGACTGCCTAGTTGACATCTCTAGTCTACATTGAGCATGTAAACTCCAAGAGAGCAAGTATTCCATTGCCTTTGTTCTCTGCTGTATCTGTGGTGCCTAGAACAGTGCCTGGCAATAATTTATTGAATGATTAAATAAATGAATGATTCTTTGCTTGTATTTCTCAGAGACATCTAAAATACTACATATCTCAAATCAAATTTATAAACTTCTCTGTCTTATCTGCTCCTTTCCTAATGTTTCCTATTTCAATGATTGGCACCATCTGTTTAGTTTCACAAGGCAGAAGTCTGGGACCTCTTCCTCACCTTCCATATCCATTGTATCACCAAGATTTACTGAATTTTTGACATGTTTCCTCATATGTCCATTTCTCTCCATCTTTACTGCTCCAATCCAAGTCACTGTAATCGCTCTCCTAGTCCTGTACAATATAGGTTGAGCATCTCAAATCTGAAATCCAAAATGCTCCCAAATCTGAAACATTTTGTGTGCTGACATAATACTCAAAGGAAATACTCACTGGAGCATTTCAGATTTTGAATTTTGAGATTAGGAGTGCTCAACTGGTAAGTATATATAATGTAAATATTCCAAAATCTGAAAAAACTTGAAATCTAAAACACTTCTGGTCCCAAGAGTTTTGCATAAGGAATACTCAACCTATAGTAGTAAACTCTTTATCTACTCTTGTCCTTTCAAATTTATTCTCCGTACTGCTACTGGAGTAAAACAAATAAAAAACAAACTTATTGAATCTGACTGTGATATTCCTGTTTGAAACCAGTTGCTTAGGAAAGGAAGAAGATTCTTAACTTGGTCTACAAGGCCCCTTGTGTTCTGGTCCCTGTCTAATCATATATCCTCATCTCATGTCACTTTTTTGGACCTTCTGTTTTCTAGTCACATTGGCTTTTTAAATTCTTCCGATAGACTATGCTTTCTCCTGCCTCAGAACTATAATGTATAATTAATAGCTTTTAATACATATTATAAAATGGAATGTCTATTGTTAGAGAAATGAATGTATCAATATTTTTGAGTAGATATTTATAACCCTAAAAGGGTAATGTTCTGTGCAGTGTTCTTTTCTTGAAAAGGAAACCATCTGTGAATTATTGCAAATAAGTGCAAGCAGTTTCAGTTATAATTTGTTCCTCTTTCAGATTATATCACACATCTCAATTTTCCCTCAAGTTGGTTATAAAACAAACAGTTATGAACTACATTTATTCTTATTGTAAAGTGAGAAAACATTTTCTGTTGTAAATTCTTTTTTTAAAAAAAATGCAGTATTGAGATAGGAAGGAAATAGAGGAGATATCTTAATTTAAAAAACTTAACAATTAGACTTATGAAATTTATATCAAAGTAGTGACCTATTATCAGTGGAAGCCTCCATTCTGAAGATAGTCAACATTTTTTTTAAGTTTTAAAATTACCTTGTCTAATTACAAATAAAACAAATCTTGGATAGTTTCATAAGCATCAAAGCCAAGGTGTGTTACTAAATTGAATTATTGTATTCAATTTTGAGCAATTGGTGGAGATTATTGCTTTGTTTTATATGATAATTTTGTTGTTATATATTTGGTATTAAGTGTTGTTTGTAATTAAAATATTTATAGAATATCTTCTGTAAGATTTCTGTCTGTAAAATGAGAAGTTGGTTTGAGAAATGAGAAATTGGTTTGTTCATTTACAGTTCAAATGTTATTTAATCATTTAAGTAACTTTAACACGTATGGCACCATATAACCATATATGTGCTCATTATTTATATTTCCTTAATTTTTTTTAAGTCAATACAAAACATTAAACTCTACAGAAGAATGCAATCAAGTGATGGCTTTTTCTTTAGAATTTGAATATGGAGGCCACAGGAACAGATGAAGTTGACAAGCTAAAAACTAAATTTATATCTGCTTGGAACAACATGAAATATAGTAAGTATCATGATTTTAAAATTATATAAATCTGAAGAAATATTTGAAATTATATATCATCTTCCTTATTAAGTCACTGATAATTAACTTGAGAATAAATGACATACTTTACTTGAATGAAATATTTCCATAAGGGATATAGTTAAATATACCTCCTGAAGAAAGAGTCAAATATCATCATAAACATTGCTTAGTAACTCATTCCTAGAGTATATTGATATTCTTATGGTTTGTACACTTTTTTTTAACTTCTCAAAGCATGTAGAATTTATTCAGATGATGATAATGTCTCAGTTTTTCAGACTCCATTTCAGGTAGTTTCATTTCTGAACTAGGAAATAAGCAAAATAGGTCTCTGAACACACAAAATAGTGTAAAGTTCATATAACAATACCTCTTATATTTCTCCTAGACCTTATTTTTAACCTAGTTACTGTTGGTTTGAAAACAAATCCAATAAAGATAATATGGAGATTTTTGAAACTCACCTAAGATGGAGAAGTACTAGGGCACAACCAGTTTCATCAGGAAAAAGTTCATACCTGTAAAATGGGAATGAAAATAGTAAAACCCCTTCCTTAATAATGCAAATTCATGTAAAACATGATTGACAGTTGGCTCTTGGTCCATTGGAAGTCATAGCTAGATAGCTATGCAGACAACTATAACTTGGCAATAACCTGACATTGCAGTTTAAAAATTATGAACATTAATTTTTTTTTTTTTGAGATAGAGTCTCACTTTGTTGCCCAGGCTAGAGTGAGCGCCGTGGCATCAGCCTAGGTCACGACAAGCGCAATCTCCTGGCCTCAAGCTATCCTACTGCCTCAGCCTCCCGAGTAGCTGGGACTACAGGCATGTGTCACCATGCCCGGCTAATTTTTTGTGTATATGTTTTTAGTTGATCAATTAATTTCTTTCTATTTATAGTAGAGACCGGGTCTCGCTCAGGCTGGTTTCAAACTCCTGACCTTGAGCATTCCTCCTGCCTTGGCCTCCCAGAGTGCTAGGATTACAGGCGTGAGCCACCACACCCGGCCTTTAAAAGAATTTCAGAATATGACAGGGGCTTTGGTTACATAAATTGCTTTTGTACCATTTGAATTGAAGTTGTAAGTGTGCCCATCCCACAGATAGTGTGCATTGTGCCAATTGGGTGTAAATTTACCCATCCCCGTCCCCCCTCCCTCCTGCTTGACTTCCCATGAATGTTATTTCCATATATGCACATAAATGTTGATCGATTAGTTCAATTTAATGGTGAGTACATGTGGTATTTGTTTTTCCATTCTTGTGATACTTCACTTAGAAGAATGGTCTCTAGTTCCATCCAGGTTAATACAAGAGGTATTAGTTTACCATTTTTTTTATAGCTAAGTAATACTCATGGTGTACATATGCCACATTTTATTAATCTACTGATGTATTGATGGACACTTGGGTTGTTTCCACATCTTTACAATTGTGAATTGTGCTACTTTAAACATTCAAGTGTAGGTGTCTTTTTTGTAAAATGTCTTCTTTTCCTTTGGGTAAATACCTAGTAGTGGGATTGCTGGATCAAATGGTAGTTCTATTTTTAGTTCTTTGCAGTATCTCCGTACTACTTTCCATAGAGGTTGTACTAGTTTGCAGTCCCACCAGCAGTGTATGAGCGTTCCTATCTCTCCACATCTATGCCATCATTTGTTGTTTTGGGACTTCTTGATAAAAGCCATTATCATTGGAGTTAAGTGATGAACATTAATTTTTTAAAAACTGAAATATAATTTATATATTACAAAATGCATCCTTTAAAAGTATACAGTTCAAATTTTTCATTTGTCAATTAAAAAAGAATACAACTCAGTGCTTTTTAGTATATTCACAAGGTTGTGCAACATTCATCACATCTAATTCCAGAATGTTTTCATCATCCCAAAAGCAACCTTATATCTTTTTATCAGCTGCCACTCCCCATTCTCCTTCATCCATCTATTGGAAACACTAATTTACTCTCTGTCCCTATGGATTTGACTATTTTGGGCTTTTTGTGTAAAAACATTCATGTCACTAGTGGCTTTTTATGTCTCACTCCTGTCATTTAGCATAATGTTTTCAAGATTCATCTTCTTTTAGCATGTGTGTATCAATACAGTCTTTTATATGGCTGAATAATATTTTGTTGTGTGATTATACAAAATTTTGTTTACCGTTCACCAGTTCATGGATATTTGGGTTGTTTCCACTTTTTGGCTGTTATAAATACTGCTGCTGTTAACATTTGTATACAAATTTTTATGTGAACATATGTTTTTTAATTTTCTTGGATCTATACCCAATTCTAGGAGTGAAATTGCTGAGTCTTATGTTAACTCTAAGTTTAACCTTTTGGGTAACTGCCAAATTGGTTTCCAAAGTAGCTGCACCATTTTACATTCCCACCAGCAGTGTTTGAAGGTTCAAATTTCTCCACATCCTTGCCACCATTGTTATTGTCATCTTTTTTTATTAGAGTAATTCCGGTGGGTGTGAAGTGCTGTCTCCCAGAGGTTTTGATTTGTTTTTCCCTAATGACTAATGATATTGAGCATCTTTTCATAACCTTACTGGCCATTTGTATATCTTCTTTGCAGAAAAGTCTAGTCAGGTCCTTTGCCCATTTTGTAATTGGGTTATTTGTCTTTTTTATTATTTAATTATAAGAGTTATTTATATATTCTAGATACAAATGCCTTAGCAAATATATGATTTGCTCATATTTTCTCTCATTTTTAGATTATCTTTTCATTTTCTTGATAGTGTCCATTTAAGCATAAAACTTTTTAATTTTGAGAAAGTCCAATATATTTATTTTTTCTTTGGTTGCTTGTACATTTGATGTCATAATAAACTGTGGCCTAAATGAATATCATAAAAGTTTATGCCTATGTTTCCTTCTAAGAGTTTTAATGTTTTATATTTAAGTTTTTGATCCCCTTTTAAGTTAATTTTTACATATGGTATTAGGTAGGGGTCCAACTTCAGTTTTTTGTATGTGGTATCTAGTCCCAGCATCATTTGTTGAAAAGACTATTATTTTTCCATTGATTGATCTTTTTTTTTTTTTTTTTTTTTTGAGACAGAGTCTCGCTTTGTTGTCCAGGCTAGAGTGAGTGCCGTGGCGTCAGGCTAGCTCACAGCAACCTCAAACTCCTGGGCTTGAGCGATCCTTCTGCCTCAGCCTCCCGAGTAGCTGGGACTACAGGCATGCGCCACCATGCCCGGCTAATTTTTTATATACATATCAGTTGGCCAATTAATTTCTTTCTTTTTATAGTAGAGACGGGGTCTCGCTCTTGCTCAGGCTGGTTTTGAACTCCTGACCTCGAGCAATCCGCCCGCCTCGGCCTCCCAGAGAGCTAGGATTACAGGCGTGAGCCACCACGCCCAGCCCATTGATTGATCTTGATACCTTTGTCTGAAATCAGTTCACCATAGATGTCTGGGTTTATTTCTGGACTTTCAATTCTATTTCATTTATTTATATATCTATCTTTATGCCAGTACCACACTGTCATGATTACTGTAACTTTGTAGTAAAATTGGAAATTGGAAGTGTGAATCTTCTAGTTTTGTTCTTTTTCTTCAAGATTGTTTGGGTTATTCTGGATATCTTGCATTTCCATTGAGTTTTATGATCCATCTTGCCAGTTTCTACAAAAAAGCCAGCTGGGGTTTTGGTAGGGATTTCACGGAATCTATAGATCAAATTGGGGATGTCTTGCCATATTAACAACATTAAGTTTGTCAATACATGGACATAGATGTCTTTCCATTTATTTAGGTCTTTTTAAATTTCTTTCAACAATGTTTTATAGTTTTCAGTTTACAAGTTTTATATTCCTTTTGTTAGAGTTATTGCTATTTTAGTCTTTTTGATGTGATTATAAAATGAATTCCTTTCTTAATTACATTTTGGATTGTTTATTGCTGGTATGTAGAAATACAATTGATTTTTGTAATTTTCTTTTCTTAAGAAAGGATTGGTGATTGGTAAGAGAGAATAGGTAGAATATAAAGCATAGGGAGAAAGGGAGAAGGTTCTCCTTAAAGGTGGTTGTTTTTTTTTATTTGAGCTTTTAAAACTTAAGTTCTTAGGATTTGCTTGGAAATAATGCTTTTTGGAGGGAGGGATTTTTTACTGTTTTTTAAGAATCAGTTTAGTATAATACTAATAATATTTCTAAAAGATAATGTATGTTAAGCTCCTAGCCTAGTTCTTGGTATACAATAGGTGGTCAGTTAATTCTAATGCTAATTTCCCATTGTAGCTTAGAAAGGAGAATCAGAACCAGGTGGGAAAATGAAAAAATTCCTTAGAAGAGCATATTTGGGCCAGATGAAGGAGCAGGGTTGAGATGGACTGATATTGGGGAGGACATTTTTGTCAGGGGATAGCATGGGCCAAGTAGCAAAGCTCACTTTGAATATAGGTGAAGGGTAGTGGGAAATATTGCACTAAAGGGAATTTGTATCATGTTGTGGAAATTCTTTAGTATGACTGAGAAGATCATAATAAATCTGATAAGTAATGAGTAATTGAGGATTTTTTTTTAGCAGAATAGTTACATAATCAAAGCTGAGCCACAGAGAGATTAATTTAGTAGTGATCTGTGACATTTGCTAGGTAGGGAAAGACTGACCACAGAGAAACTATTTTGCAAAGTATTGTAATCTAAGTGAAGTTTAATGAAGTTTAATTATTGTATTTATTTGACTTCCCATTTTCTTTCATTACCAAATTCAGGAGACTTGCATCATTTTTATTATACATACATATTTTTATTTATTTGTATGTTGCCTTAAGGGCATACTTTCATTCACCCATTTTAAACTTTTTAACTACTCTGTTAAATATAAAGGGCAGATAGTCTACTTAAGACAAGACTCCTAATTTCAGATTATTTCTATTTATATACTTTTGTATTTTAGGAGATGCTTTTAAGCCTATCATTAGCATTCAGAAATTTCATATACTTGTGACTATTCAAGAATGTAGTGGCAAGAGCTTTTCTCAGGGAATTCAGAACTATTAATGGCATCATGAAAAGCCAAAAAGGATTGATGGTGTAGTAGGAACAAAATTGTAAGAATTAGAGTTTGCAACTAAATTTGGGAGTTGAGGGTGGAGAGGTGGAAATTTGGGATGGGGATGTCTGAAAGCTATACCACTTTCAGACATTTTCATTTGGCTGAAATGATGGAGTTATAACCAATTTCTCTAGGAACATTCAGAGATCTACTTTTATCATGAGCACTAGTCTGCTGTATGATCTTTTTCCTAAATGACTTCATTGGAATGTTCAAATACTTTAAACTTATTAATTTCCTAAGATAGAAGGAAATAAGAAATTGATAACATTTGTTGCCTTTGTGAGAAGTGGTTGGGAAAAGTGGTCAGGGAAAGTGGGGTAGAATTTGTACCTTTTAAATTTTGTACCATAAGAACCCAAGAATGAATAAGTGATAACTAATGATTTGAAATTAAATAAAAGAAAATTCTTCTAGACTTTTAGTCAGAAATCTTTCAATTACAAAATTCTTTTTCTTTTTTTTTCCGGTTAGGTTGGGTGTTGAAAACAAAGACGTATTTTAGTAGAAATTCCCCTGTATTATTGCTTGGAAAATGTTACCATTTTAAATATGAAGGTAAGTGCTAACTTTGTAAAACACTTTGTAAATCTTTGTAAAAACTCATTGTGTAACTGTTTTTATTATTTTATTTCCAGACGAATCTACTTTTGCTGTATTTTTGTTAACTATTTATAGTATATATTGTGCACAATATATTACCATATGGTTTGGATTTCTTGTGAACTACTTTAGGATAAGGTTCTAGTCTTCATTTGTTATATCCCTCATAGTTTTAGACTAATAAGTATGACTACTAAGTAAACATTACTTGAATTGCTAAATATTCTTTATTAAGTTCTCTGATAACATCAAATTATATGATAATGAATAAAAGTATCACCATAGTTAACCTAAAAATGATGATTTTTGTCAATTCTTAAGGATGGCTCAGTATCTGAAATTGACTTTTTTGATATTTCTGAATTTCTACATATCATTCTTTCAATAATTATCTTATATTTTCTTTTAATAATTTGTGCCATTTATTGAGTGCCAGGCACCATGCTAGACTCTTTGGGAAATATCTTTAATTTTCAAGACAAATCTACAAGATAGATTCAAGTATCTCCATCTTATGAATGTGAAGGCAAAGAGCTTTAAAAAGTTAAATATTTTATCCAAAGTTACATAACTATTAAATGGCAGAGCTGAAATTTAATCTAAGACTCTGTCTCTAATACTGGTGTTCTTTTTAATATACATCTTTGCTTGGTTGTGTGTATGTATGTAAGATAGAGAATGAAAATGTGTGAGAGTATGTTAATATCAAGGCTTTTATTCATTTTTGGTTGACCTATTTTGGTATATCATTTATTAGCAAATATTTTGTTTGTTTTTTTGAGACAGAATCTCACTCTGTCGCCCAGGCTCCATGGAGTGCAGTGGTGTGATCACAGCTCACTGCAACCTCCAACTCCTGGGCTCAAGTAATTCTCCTGCTTTAGCCTCCCAAGTAGCTAGGACTACAAGCGTCTCCACACCTGGCTAATTTTTTAAAAAAATTTTTGTAGTTCTCACAATGTTGCCCAGCCTAAGCAATTCTCTAAAACCTACTGAAAGGCTTATGATAATAACAGCTAACATTTATCCAGCATTTAATACTGTGACAGCCAGTATTCTAAGTAATTTACATGTATTAACTCATTGAATTCTTACAACAATCTTGAAGAATGAGTAGGAAGTCCTTAAGTACTAAGTTTGACAGTTAATATCTGACATTTCACTTTGACACTTATTGTTTTATTTTTATCATAAAGATACATCCTCATTCTTTCAAATGTACATTTTGACTTGTGGTGATCATTCAAATTTTGTTTAGAACAATTCTTGTACAATTTTTGTATTATTTTCAAATATGAGTTCTGTTGTAAAATCAATACAGCATAGCTCAAAATATCAACAAAATGTTTGGAAAGGATGTGGCTAATGAATACACAGTACGTTGATGGTTTAAAAAGTTGTATTCTGGTAATTTTAATCTTAAAAATGAGCCACGTGGATGATCTGAGACCAAGGTGAATAATGATAAACTAAAAACTGTAGTGGAAGTGAATTCATCTCAACCTATACATAAATTAACAACAAGGTTTGAGGTTACTATTCCAACAATATTAGACCATTTAAAACAAATCGACAAGGTAAAGAAGAAGCTGGATAGATGGGTACTAAATGAAACAAACATCAAAAGAAAAATCATGTAGAAGCTTGCCTTTTTTTGCTGTCATGACATAAAGGCAAACCATTTCTATACCATATTGTTATGTGTGATAAAAAATAGATTCTTTACCTCCTTTATCAAATGAAAAAGAAAAAAAAAATAGATTCTTTTTGACAATCACAAGTGTTCGGCACAATGACTGGATAAAGTGCTGAAACACAGTCCAAAACCAAATATTGATCAAAAAAAGCTAATGGTGTCTGTTTGGTGGTCCAGCGCTGGTATTACCTGCTACAGCTTTATAATACCTAGTCAATCCATTACAGCAAACATCTACTACAACCAAATGGATGAAATGATGAGGATGTTTGTGATTAAACAGCCGGGATTGGTCAGTAGAGATAGGCCGATCCTCTTGCAAGACAGTAGTTGACCACATGTCACACAAACAACACTGCTTGAACTACAGATACTGGACTAAGAGACTCTCTGTCATTTACTTTATTTACCAGACCTTATACCAACTGACTACCACTTCTTCCAGGCTTTGGACCACTTCTTCCAAGGAAAAAAAATGTGTGTGTGCATGTGAAGAGATATGTAGAAAATCAGAAAAGATTAGTTTCTAAAATAATAAAGAACCACAAATCAAATATGAAAAACATGGACACCCCCCCAAAAATGAGCCAAGAAAATGAGCAGGTACATTTCAAGCAGAAACTCGAATGGCCAGGGAAGCATAAGAAAATGCTTATCCTAATAATAAGGGGAATGCAAATTAAAATGAGATACTATTTCTTATCACATATACAAAAATGTAAAGGTTTTGATTATATCAAGTATTAGCATAGATAAGAAAAAATAGGAACTCAAACACTGCTGTTGGGTGGGTAAATTGGTATAACCTCTTTGTGAGAAATTTGAGAATACTTGGAAAAATTGAAATTATATGTAACTTAGGACCCAGCATTTCTACCTTTAATTATTTACCCTAGAGAAATTCTCTGTATGTGTGGAGAACACATTCACAAGATGTTTATTATAGCTTTGTTGAAATAATAAACAAGTAGGGGATTTGAAGAATGAAGTTATTCATTCATTCCGGAGATATTTATTGAGAACTTACTGTGTCCAGATACTAGAATTACTGCTGCATGCAGGTATGGCAGATACAATCTTTACTCTCAAGAAACTTACAGCCCAACAGATGAGAGACATTAAACAAATAATCACAAAAATAATCCCATTATGATATTTGTGATAAAGCACAAGTACAGACCATTATAAAACTATAGAGGTAGATCAAATCAGAAGGGATGCTATTGGCTGCAAATAAGCCATTTCAAAATGGCTTAAATAATGAGATTTATTGTCACACAAGCAGAAGTCCTACAGTAGGCAGGCTCTAGGCTGGTTAATTCCATGCCTTAGTAGCATCATCAAGAACCCATGTTGTATCTACCTTCCCACTGTGCTAATCTCAGCATGTTGGCCTTATTGTCATCTAGTTCTCCTTATAGTAGCAAGTATAGGAGATATGACAGATATGACAGAATCCAGTGAAAGAACCTTTTCTTCTTTGTATTATTATTATAAATACTTAATTCTTACTATTTTAATAACTTTATACTCTAAGTATTTAAAAAATTTTGAAATTATGAATTATTCATATATAGAGAAGATAAAAACTTGTATGTATACTTTGAAGACTGGGATAAGGCTGGGAGCAGTGGCTCATGCATGTAATCCTAGCACTCTGGGAGGCCAAGAAGGGAGGATCACTTGAGCTCAGGAGTTCAAGACCAGTCTGAGCAAGAGTGAGGCCCCATCTCTACAAAGAATAGAAAATTTAGGTGGGAATGGTGGAGTAGGCCTATAGTCCCAGCTACTCAGGAGGCTAAGGCAGGAAGATCAATTGAGCCCAGGAATTTGAAATTGCAGTGAGCTATGATGATGCCATTGTACTCTAGCCTGGGAGACAAAACGAGACCCTGTCTCAAAAAAAAAAAAAAAAGGCTAATAATAAAACTGTACTCAATGTAAGACATACACCATTATGAGTAATTTTTAAATCTCCCTGTGCTTCTACTCAGTGTGTCCCGCTCCCTATACCTAGAAAAATGCCACTATTCTGGTATCCTGGATTGTTTAGTTTTGTGGTTTTTTGCATTTTTGTAAATGGCATCAAACTCTATTTTGCTTCTGTGACTTGCTTATGGCTTTCAACGTTGTATTTTTGAGTTGTCTATGTTGTGTGTAGTTGTAGTTTATTTTTGCTGCTGTATGATATTTCATTGTATGAATTGCCACAGATTATTCATTCTATTGTTGATAGATATTTGGGTTGCTTTTAGTTTTTTTGCCATTATAAATAACATATGTAGTAAAGTATTGTATTATTGTGGAAATAAGACTATATTCTCAGAATTTTGGAGATATTACATTTGCCCTTCACTAAAAATATCTGCATGCAGGAAAGAATGAGGGGAATTGCCCATTAGCCAGAAGAATGTCGTATTTCTATTCTAATATTCCATTATGTGGATTCTCTTTTTCTAATGAGTATAACCTCTCCAAACCACAGAAGAGTTCATAAAGAAAAAAAAATTAAATGAGCATAACCCAAAATCACCCTCTTATACCTTTGCAGAAATTGTTTTGGTATCCACAGGGAGGGAGGCCCTTGTACTTAAAAACACACAAATTCAAGTGAAGTATAATTTTGAAAACAGGAAGAGTAACAGTAAATGAGATCAAATATGCATTTCAAAAGAGATTCAAATATACATTTTGAAAATACAGTCACAGTGACCAAATATAAAACAAGGGGAGTCACTGTAAGTATAGTAAAGGGGAGTCACAAGGTAAGATCAAAGGGAATTGGAGTCTTCATTCAGAATAAAGGGAAATATGACATTGAGGGAATAACATTAAGGATATTTCTTGATAATGGAGTTTCAAATTTTAGAATACATGACATCAAGGTCTGTTGATCATGGAGAACTAATTTCTCTCTTCTGTGAGTATACAAACCCAGAATATATAAAGATTTATGAATCCTGTAATTGATATTACTTTGGTGAATTTATAGTTCTTAATACATATCCTGAGGTTTTTGCCCTACTTTGTCAAGACTTTTTTTGTTGCCTCACCAGAAATATAATATTCTGTTCACTTCATTTAAGAATATTAATGCTAATATTTTCTGTCTGTCTATGGACTCATGGCTTTTCAGATTTACTGTATGTTGGGTGACCTCAGCCAGTAATCTTTTAATGCGTAGATTTTCTTGTCTTTGGTCAGTGGAAGGTCCTTTGAGATTGGCATCTGTATCTTTCAACAAAACCTGATTAATATT